AAAAAATCCCACTCATTTCACCCCAAAATGACCCCAAATTTGAGCTCCTCATCTGAGGGAGGGGGATTTGGGGAGACCCCCAAAATCACCCCAAAAAAATAGGGGGCGATTTCCCCAAAAAATCCCATTCGATTCCCAAAAAATCCCATTTATTTCCCACAAAATCCCACTCATTTTGTCCTAAAATGACCCCAAATTTCAGCTGCTTTTCTGGGGGAGGGGGTAAAATGGGGAGGGGGAGACCCCCAAATAGACCCCAAAAAGATTTGGGGTCAGGTCCCAAAAAATCCCGCTCAAATCCCAAAAAATCCCGCTCAAAATCCCAAAAAATCCCGCTCAAATCCCAAAAAATCCCGCTCAAAATCCCAAAAAATCCCCCTCAAATCCCAAAAAATCGCGCTCAAATCCCACAAAATCCCGCTCAAATTCCATAAAAAACCCCATAAAAAATCCCATTTTTCTGTCCTAAAATGACCCCAAATTTGAGCTCCTTTTCTGGGGGAGGGGAAAATTGGGAATTGGGGAGGGGGATCAGGGAGACCCCAAAAATCACCCCAAAAATATATGGAGGGATTTCCCAAAAAAATTCCCAAAAAAATCCCATTCGGTTCCCAAAAAAACCGCATTCGATTTCAATAAAATCCCTCTTTTCTGCCCCAAAAGTGCCCTAAATTTCAGGTATTTGTCCCCCAAATTATTTGGGATATCCCAAATTTATTGGGTATTCCCCTAAATTTATTCGGGATAATCCCAAAATCAACCCCAAAAAAATTTGGGGTTGGTGGGGTTAATCGATCCAAAAAAACGCCGTCAAATCCCAGTGAAATCCTAAAAAATCCCACTCAAATCCCAAAAAATCCCATACATTTTATCCCAAAATCACTCTCAATTTCACATCTTTCCCTTCTAAATTATCAGAAATATCCCAAACTTATTTGGGATAACCCCAAAATCAAACCCAAAATCGACCCCAAAAGATTTGGACCCTATCCCAAAAAACAGCCCCAAATTCACAAAAAAATCCCATTCAATTACCAAAAAATCCCACCTAATGTACCCCAAATCTGAGCTCCTTTTGTGGGGGAGGGGGAAAATGGGGAAATTGGGGAGGGGGATCAGGGGAGACCCCTCAAAAAGATTTGAGGCCCTATCCCAAAAAAACGGGCCCAAATCCCAAAAAATCCCATTTGATTCCAATAAAATCCCACTTTTCTGTCCCAAAACGACCCCAAATTTCAGTTCCTCATCCCCAAATCCATCCTAAATCCCCTAAAATTGACCCCAAAATCCCCAAATTCACCCCAAACCCCCTCCCAGTTCCCTTTCCACTCCTAAAACTCCCGTTTTTTCACCCCAAATCCCCATTTTTTCCCCAAAATCCCCGTTTTTTTCACCCAAAATCCCATTTTTCCCCTAAAATCCCCATTTTTTTTCCCAAATTCCCCATTTTTCAGCCCAAACTCTCACCAGCAGCACGTGGCGCAGCCCCAGCTCCGCTCTCCAGTCCCATTTCCCCCAGAAATCCCCATTTTTCCCCCCAAAATCCCCGTTTTTTTCCCAAAATTCCCATTTTTCTTTTTCCCAAAATCCCATTTTTTTTCCCAAAATCCCCATTTTTCACCCCAAAATTCCCGTTTTTTTTCTCACCAGCAGCACGTGGCGCAGCCCCAGCTCCGCTCTCCAGTCCCATTTCCCCAGAAATCCCCATTTTTCACCCCAAACTCCCATTTTTCCCCCTAAAATCCCCATTTTTTGTCCCAAAATCCCCATTTTTTTCCCTAAAATCCCCATTTTTTGGTCCCAAATTCCCGTTTTTTCACCCAAAATTCCCGTTTTTTCCCAAAATCCCCATTTTTCACCCCAAATTCTCACCAGCAGCACGTGGCGCAGCCCCAGCTCCGCTCTCCAGTCCCAAATCCCCATTTTTTGGTCCCAAATCCCCATTTTTCCCCTAAAATTCCCATTTTTTTTTTCCCAAAATCCC